ACCGGCTTGTTACTGCACATGCCTCGCACATGTGGGCTGGACACGGGTATCAGGGCCGTGTTTCCTCACACCTGCCAACATGTGTGCCCGAGAGAATCTACCAGCCTACCTCCAGTCAATCCCCCGCAACACACCACACACACACACACACACACACACACACACACACACACACAGAGAGAGAGAGAGAGAGAGAGAGAGATAGAGAGTCCGGGCTCCCTTCCCTCCCAGCCCCCTTCGTTCCCCGGGCCGGAGACTCACAGAGACCGAAGCTTAATCCACATCTTCTTGCTGGGGGCCGACTTCAGCTCCAGGGGTGACGGGCAATCCGACTCCAGCATCTCTGCAGGGCTGCGAGGAGACAGCTCCATGCTCGGCCACTATCTAGGGAACAGAGGGGCGGCCTTTCCGCTCAGTTTCAGCCCCTAGCCCAGAGACCCTCGCCCCCATCCCAGGCCCTTCCCACCTGCGGCTGGCGTGGACCAGCCAGGCCGGTATTTCTAGGCTCGGCCCAAGCTGGCAGGGCTGCAGTTGCTGCGGCTGCTCCTCTCTCTGGGCTCCAGGTTCCAGCTCTCCGCGCCGCCGCCGCCGCCGCCGCTAGAGCCGCCTCCCCCTCACTCCTCCTCCGCCGGCCGAGGCCCCCTCCCTCCGCTCCCCTCCCTGCTCCCGGGCCTGCCCGCCCGCCAGTCTTGCGCTCGGCGCAGCCACTCCTCCCCCTCGCCGAAGAGTGATGGGGAGCCGGGGGCGCACACTCAGGAGCGCTCAAGGGCGAGTGCGCGCACGGGCGCCCAGCACGAGTGGCTGCTGCGTGTGCCCTGCGGGGGGTGTGAGTGCGTATCGACAGCGCAGGCGGCTCGCAGGACTCCGCGTGGGTGGAGGGGTGGCTCCTCCCGGGGTGTTCGGAGTTACTGTGGATGCACGTATGTGCTTTCATGTGTCCACCCCCGTGCGCCTAGCTACCTGTGTATCCCTTACTGAAGGACCCCTTAACGCCCTGGGGTACCGGGACGTGGGTGGAGTGAAGCCACTAGCTTCATAACCTCACCAGACCTAACCCAGCAGCGCTCCCGTCTTTTTGAAAGGAAAAGTTCTGGAGGTTCTGAGCGGTGCTGGCCAGCTCAACTCAGCTTCCTCAGCTGGGTCTTCCGGATCTGTCTCTGTGGGACGCCTTGCGGTATCTCAAGCCACCCGCCACCCGTGGGAATGTCTCCGAGTTTAAAGCTCTGCAGGCAGCCCCACATCTCCCATGACTACCCAATAACTGCAAACAGCCAGGAAATCATGCCTGACAGCTCGCCTCAATCCGGCCTGCAGCCGTTCCAGCTCATTTCATTTTACTCTGCCTTCAGAGAAAGAAATCTTAAGGGTTGAAGGCCCAGTGCAAAACAGGCCCTCTGCTGAGTAAACGCTTGTGAAATGAGGGGATGGGATTTGAACTCAAGCCCATGCGGCAGGGCAAACCTCTTCCATCCAACTGTGTCCCACCCCGACACTTGCAGGAACCGCTTCTATTTCTTTGTTCCCCCCCTGGATGGACACCTAGCTTGGCACTGGGGAAGCTCCAACAGAAAAATGGAAATGGATTCATCGGCTGCTGGATTTAAAACGGGCCACTAATCCAGGATTCCAGAACGTAATTTGAATTTCGAGATCCCTGGAGATTGGAAGGAGGGGTGATTGGGAGAAGGTATATATTCTAAGTGTCACTCAGATGGAGGCTCCCCTGCTCCCAGACTAAGCCTGGGAAAAGAGCAGAAGGGAAGTGACAGGGTGGAGAAAAGGATGGACTGCTTCAGCCAATGTGGAAGAACTGCCAACTCAGGTCAGGGCTTCCCGCAGACAGCAGCATCAGGGAACCCGCAACCCGGAAGTACAAACCAGAAGGATGTGGCAGAATCAGAGAGAGCAAAAAAGTGGCAAGAATGTTGGGGCCTCCCCTCTCTCTGCACCTAACTTCAGCAAATATCACTGTTCTCATCAGAGACAGCAGCATCTGAGACCCTCTCCTACACAACACAAGTTCTCAAAATCGGGAGCGGTCTCCTTTCTTATCAACTGAAAAAGGGAATGGGCTGGAAACTACAAAAGAATTCATTGCAAATTGAGATTAGAGCTAAAGAGCTCTAACTCAAAAATTACATTATAGCTAAGGAGTTTCCCCGCGTAGGCAGGTTATTTCAACTGGGGGAGGGAGTATTCTAGAGAGATCAGCTCAACATTTCTTGTCATCACAATGGCAAGCCCAGCTCTCCCCAGACCCCCAGCTCCTGACCTCTTTTAAGAAAAGGGTCATTTGTAGAATTCATCTACCTTCCTCTCTAATAAGAAAAATATGCCCAGAAAAAAGAATCTAGTCCCAACAGAGACTTAGCCTCAAAGTCAGAGCCAAGTCTCAGCCCTCTAGTGCCTTCTCCACTGTGCGGCTCTCACTTTTAGTCACCAGTCCTAGTGTTCAGCCTCAACCTCCTTCTCTTGTTGCAACACAGTTGCATTTCTGCTTTGTCAACCTCTAGAGACGGAAATAGTATGGTGTATTTGCTCCATTCACAGAGTCAAAAGGCGCTGTCCTTCCCTCCCTTTTTCCTCTTTTCCCCTTCCCACACCTTTCCCAGGCTCCCTTCCCGCAGCTTCATTGCCTTCTGTTCTGCTTCTGAATCGCCCTGCTCTTGCCCCTTGGAAAGCCTGCCTCCTCCCTCCCCTTTGCTCCACAATCCCTTCCAACAAGCTCAGAGTTTGATAGAGGCCAAAAAACGATGCTTTGGCAGCAGGTGACGGATGGATGTGATCTGCCTCCTACGGGAATGCTATTTAAAGGGGCAGCCCCACAATCCTCTCCTTCCAAAGTGACAGGAGAAAAGCCTGCTCCTCAATCTCTCCAATGCTGCAAACTCAGCTCAAGTTAACTTCTGACTTCCCCAACCTGTAACCTGGCCTGCAGCTCCTGCTTCCTGTTCAGGTGGGAGGGAGAGTACTTGACAACTCACTGAGGTGTGGGGGCTGAGGTGGGGGAGGGGGACTCATCTTCATCTCCTTTGATGACAGGTACTCCGAAGAAGCAGGAGGCCCTGTGGGGAGGAGGACTGGAGGAACATTCTTCCCCCAACAATGTGAGCACCGTTCAGCCATGTGCCAGCTTCTCAAAGTCAGACTTTGTAGGGGAAGAGCTGATCCAAGCACCAGGGTCTTAGGCTGAGGAAACCTGTCTCTAGTTGGGACCGCCCTCCCTAGGGGTCCTGGAGCTCAAACCACATTTGTTCCCTTCATGTAAAATGCCAGAAAGTAAGCTCCATTTTCCCTAGCCAGGCCTCAGATGCCTGCACCTTGAAGCTGCCCTCCTCACCTGCCCCTTAGATGGGATGCTATAGCAGAAGCAGCAGCATCCCTACTGCCCAAACCAAAAAGAGCACCTCAGCAAGCCTCTCCCTCCAGGCTTGGCAGGACAGATAATTCCATCTCACTACTGCAAAGGAGTTAATGGAGACTTTAATGAAAACACTGCACTAATGAAAATGCTGAGGCTAGAGCAGATTCTCTCTCTGCAAGTCAGAGCAATCGGGGTCAGAATTTCTCCTGATAGTCATTCCTTGGTTTTTTTGCGGTCTAAGTTAAGAAAGTTAAGAAAGATGGGGGTATCAGAGCAAAAGCAGTTCATAGTGGATTGTGTCCCAAACCTGTAAGAAGTCAAAAACCCTCGTGGTGGAGGAAGTAATTCACCTGAAATGCTGATGGGTCCTGTTTCTTCATGCACCCCTTCACCTCTAGCCTTTCCTTCCTGATGGTAAAGACCACCTCCTCCTCTTTGCTCCTTCTCCGGTCTTCTGGAGTCTAAGTCTCCCCTACGAAGAGGTAGTCTGGTCAGGCACAAAGTCTAGAACTAAACATCAGATTTGGGTCTAGTTCTTCACACAACCTTCATTAAAGTCACTTAATGTTACTGAATCTGTTTCCTGACCTGAAATATGTAAGTCCTTCCCTTGGCTACCTTGCAGAACTTCTCTAAGGATAGAAAGATGATTTGAAAAAGCTGGGTAGTAAATAAATATGTGGGCATAATTACAAGTTTGTGAAAAGATGTCAAGTTGCAAAATTTTAGTAGAAAACAAATCTGCTGAGGTGGGGTTGCAGGTGGGGGAAGAGACATAGAAGAGAAATGGGTTATAAAAGAGCTATACAAGGGGTCCATGTGATGATGGAGCTGCTGTGTATCTTATAACTGAGGCAGCAGATATACAAACCTGCAGCTAAAGAGACTGCAAAGAGCTAAATACATATACACTGAGAAGTGCTGTAAGTAAAATTGGAAAGCTGAATGACAGCAGTAGATTATATGAGCGCCAGTGTCCTGGCTGTGATGGTCTACTAGAGTCCTGTGAGGTATTGTCACTGAGGGAAACTGTATAAAGGTCCAGGGATCTTTCTATGTTATTTCTTACAAGTGCAGGTAGATCAACTATCTCAACAATTCGCTCAGTTACCACAAGGATAGTATGTCTACCCTTCCTCTCCAACTTCTCTAGCTGTCTTCAGGGAATGTCCTTGTAAATGATTCTCCATGCAATTGGAGGAGTCTCCACCCCCTCAAGCAGAAGAACCAAGCAGAGATACAAGGATATAGCATCAGCAGGGCATGGTGATACATGCCTGGAATCACAGCACTTGGGAGACTGAGGCAGGAGGATCGTGAGTTTGGGACCAGCCTGGACTACATAGCAAGACCCTGTCTCAAGGCCAAAAAAGGGAAGATGTCATTGCTCAGATCCTTCTGAGCCTTTCTCTTCCTCATCAACTGTGCTTGCCGTCTCAGCTGGCCTAGCACTGGATCACCCTTCATAATGTCCTTTCCATAGCAAAGAAGGACGATTAGCTGAAGCATGAAGCAGGAGTCTCTGTTGCTTCTATAAAACATTTGTTGGTTATGGATGCCAAGTTAAGGAAGTATTGCCTAACCCCAGAGAAATAAACAGCAAACATACATACACAATCTCAAAACAGCTATCAAATTGGTTTAATGAAGGCCGGATGGTTTTGCTGAAAGCCAACAATTGCTTCCTTTTCATCGTGGAAGTATGGACATGACCCTAATTAATCAACTGACTAATTCTATTTGCCCATTTCAACCATTCTGGACCTGTGACACACATGATCTGTTGCTCCGGCCTCCCTGGCAATGACTGCGTGAGTGACGGATAGGGCTACTGGTTCCTGTCATGGAGTTAACTAAACCTAGTTTAGTGCTATCTTAAATGCCCCAGGCTCTGTGACACTTGAAATTCTAATTAGTGCAGAAAAGGACTGAATTGAAACAGCTTGTACTCCCTCAAGGATACCCACTTTCAGGGCCCTACAACCTAATGAGGTCTGTGAAGTTTAAGATCTATAAGAGAAATCCCTGCCTGGAGCAACAGTTGTACCCAGGCTGCCAAGGGGATTTGGGATTAAATTAGTCCCACCCATTAGGAGATAGAGTACCCCCAAATGATACAGGAGGGGAAAAAAACCACCTGAGTCTGGTTTACTTTGCTGAAGTGACCTAGGACTTAATCTAAACTGCCCCTCTGTTCTGGGTTGTGGAGAGTCACAGGAAAAAAAGGTGGGGTGAAAGCAAGAGACACACTCATTACCCACAGTGGACAGGAAAGCAGGCTGTCCATGAAGGTTCTGGAGGACACCTCCTCCCTATCTCAGTGTGGACAGCAGTCAAGCAGGGGCAGAGGAAAGAACCCCATGGAGGAGGGGCCCCTGCGTTGTCCACTGCAGTGGGAGCAGGAGGGCTGTTTGCTGAACACATTTGGAAAAGGAAGAGAGGAGATAATCGTCCTAATGAATGTGCAGGAGACAATAGCAGCTCCAGCGGGAGGATTATAAGCTCATTATGGTTTAATACGATGATTGATCATCTCTGCCCGCCAGCATTATCCTAGAATAGTGATGAAGGTCGGAGAGACCCATGCCTGTCAGAGCTCAAGCTGGAATTACCAGAAGATACAAAATATGCTTGTAGGTCACTGGGTTTTTTTGTGGTAAAAATTCATACATGTGGTCCCACAACCCTTTGTCTATGAACTGTCCTCTATGGCCCCAGCCTGGCCCACTTCTCCATGATTCCCCAGCCTGGATATTCCTCAGCATACCTGTTCGTAAGCTGTGTGACCTCCCCCACCCCCATCTCCCTGGCACCCTCCCACTCCCCTTCCCTTTTGAGAAAATGACCACAGCTTCCACTGTGGAGCAGCTCTGCACATATCCAAAATGGCCACAGCCCACTGTGGCCAGCTCTGTGCACATCCAGAAGGCCCTTCAGTGGGTACTGGCAGATAGCCGGTTCAGGTAGAAGGCCCGGGAAACCTCTCGATAGGCATTTCGTAGCAGGACGTAAGGAAAACAGGACTCCAGCATGTCCAGGGTCAAGAAAGGCGACTCCTCCACAACCTGGAACAAATGGGCCAAGAGGTAAGAGCCTCCAGTAGCACACCTCGGTTCCTCTTTATGCAGATCCAACGCCCTTTGTGGCCCTGAGGGTTAAGAATGAACAGGTTCCAAATCACTCTTCCCCCTTCCTCCCTCACTTGATTTGGCTCCAGAAGGCAGTATGTCCTCCTGAGTTCCATTTCACTGGCCCATCCCCTCCATCAGGACTAATGTGAAGGACATGGAAGCAAAAGGCAAGAAATAAAAAAGTTTCCTAGGCGCAGAATAACCCCATTCTCTCCTGTTCTGGACATTAAATCACATGGGGGGAGAGCAGCACGGGCATAGATAAAAATGGATTGCAGGGTTCATTCATCTCAAAGCTTTACAGCAAGAGAAACAATTGCCACTGCAGACCAAGGAGATGGGTCCCAAAGCCACATGGGTCCTCTTGTGCTGGGTGTGGGGTCTCTCCCTCTCCCAGCACAGCACTTAGGGACCAGTAAGGAGGCTACATAAAGGCACAGGCATGATTAATTAGTTTAATTAGAAGCTTGTGTGCTGTGGTAATCCCAGCAGGCCCCCTAGCCAAGCAGAAGATGGATGCCTGGACAAGACTAAGGATCGGAATGAGGATGTGAGGATGGGCAGAGGGGCCATATGCCACCCCCAAAAAGCAGCAGAACCCAGGGTTGAATGGGGTCTCCATCCCAATGGGAGAAGCAGAGTGCATTTCCTTATACTCTCTTTACCCAAGAAGTCATAAAACTAAACCCGTGCTTCAAAGGGGAATTTCACATCCCATGGCAATCCCCATGGTGGGCTTCCCACAACGGTATTTCAAGTTCGAAGATCCACTCAGGAAAGAGACTCTACCATGTCTGTTGTAACTTCTTTCATCTCCCTCCAAAGTCCCTTGAAATTTAACATCGGTAAGATTTTGCTATTCTCAAACACATGCACACCCAGGACACATGATGGCCTCAAAAAAGAAACACCACAGCCTTTAACATCGGTAAGATTTTGCTATTCTCAAACACATGCACACCCAGGACACAGCCTGGAAGAAAGGAAAGGAAGAAAGGAAGAAAGGAAATCTGCTTGCAAAACCAAAGCCCAACTAGGGGAGGTCACTCACATCTGCAGTCCCAGCACTCAGGAGGCTGAGGCAGGAGAATTGCCATGAGATCCAGGCCAGCCAGAGCTACCATGGCCAGACCTTGTCTCAAAACAAGAACAAACTAACAAAAATATGCCCTGAAGTCCCAAGCCAAAGTCTGGTAACAGTGAGAATTCATTGCTTGATGAGATTTTCAGACTTCAGTCAGCAGATGAACACTCTCACATGCAGGTACAGAGAAGTGACTGATAGCTTCAAGAAGGAGCCACTAGCCCATGACTTCCTATTCTCTGCCAGGAGAATAACAAGAATTTGTGGCACTAGAAATAGTCCCAGAGTGGAGGCCCAGAGACTTGGGTTCTAGTCCTAAATCAGCCCATATACTTTAGGAGAGATTTTTTTTAATTTTGTTTATTTTTATTTGTGTGTATGTGTTGTGTGTGTGTGTTTAAGTACACTATGTGTACAAGGCCTGTGGAGATCAGAAGAGAATGTCATATCCCCTGGAACTGGAGTTATAGATGGTAGTTAACCACCATGTGGATGTTGTGAACCAAACCTGACCCTCTGCAAGTGCTAGCAGCCAGTGCTCTTAGCCATAGAGCCAACTCTCCAGCCCTTAGGAGAGACCTTGAATCTCATCCTGCCATTCCTCAGTTTGTCTACTATGAACTATAAGTCCTGGATAATTGCCAGGACCTGGTCTGTCTCTGACATCAGAGCCCATGATTCTGAGAGCACCATCTCTTTCCCCAGGAAATCCATGCCAAGAGCAAGATGGCAGCCCTGAGTAGACAGTGCCTAAGCTGGACAACGAGGACAGGATGACCCCAGGGAGAGAAGTACTGGCCAGAACATAGGGTTACAAGGATAGCCTTTTTAACTCAGAACACAGCATCTTCCCTCTAGTCATTTCCAATTTCTCTGTGGAAACATTTGCATTTAAATTGCTTTGCAGCAGCCAGTCCCTCCAGTCTTCACCTCAGCAAAAAGTGTCTGGTCCTGGCTCTGCTCCTGCCATTCTTCCTGGAAGGTCACCAAGGGCAAGCACTTTCCTCCCCTTTGGAGCAAGGATGGAGGT